ATTAATTAATAAATATTTTTAAACAAACTTATAGAGATCTGGTCATAAATGAAACCAAAGCTCTAATCTAATTAACAAAAACACTATTCAAATAGAACAGTAAATCACCAACACTCCTATTGTATAGAAACATGTGTGATGAGTGATAAAGTAATAAGGTCAAGGTATGAAAAACTAGTTTTGAAGAAATGTTTAAAAACAGTACTATTTAGAATTTTAGAGATAAAAGTAAAAGTTGCAACACTTATTAGTTAATTTAGACATATTCATGCTGTAGAAAAAGTATATTTATTTTATCCTTTGTAATATTTTTAGTCATTTTAGTTATAGAAAAATATGATTATTTAAACTTCTAACGAATTTTGTTTTATAAATAGTAAACAAAATCAGTTAGATTACAGTAGTCTAATTTGTTAAATAATGTCCACTGATAATAAATTAATAAACACATACCTACTAGTTTTAATTCCTTGTTTATCAATAACACATACAAATATCCTTTACCTTTGCACCAATCTAGAACGCGCCACAAATGGTATGAAAACAGAAATTTCACATTTAATTGTTTTAGAACACAAAACCACGTGTTTGTCGATAGTAACTAAGAGCAAATGAACTATTTGAATTGAAAGGAAAACTAACACAAATATTTTTGTTTACAATATAAACAAAATCCCAACGACCTACGTCACGATACCTACGCAGAACTTAAAAAATCTTGTGCAATTTCGTTGCCGCTAAAGGAAATAAACACAAACTGGTTATCTATAATTATATATAAAAGAACTGTAAAGTCTGTCTTGCTTGATTCACCTACATACTACATATATGAGAGCTGTAGAAGTCGCTTGAGTTGAGGCCAGCGCTGACACGGTAGGTAAAAAATACGAAAATGATGGTACGAAACTGAACTGAACAACGGTTCGCTTATAATATTATGTACAATACGATTTGCATGTTATTATAAAAAGCAGTGCGTTGTGACTGCGGAATGATGGCGACCATAGATAAGACAACATAGCTGAAATAAAATGGGGTCTCTCAGGTGTCAGATTTCGGAGATCTAATTACATACTGGTATTGATGATTTGGTTTATATATTGCAAGTTTGCATTTACTTATATTGTCTGGATATGATCCATATAGTTATTGGACACTTAAGAAAATTTAAACTTTAAAAATTCGTAATTCACATTGTTCTCTGCAGATTTAATTGAAATTTATACAAAACGTAGCCTAAACAGTTTATTACAAGAGGGCTGGCTATAACGATTTAAAGAAAGTGTTAAATTTTTTTTGTCAATATATATTTATTAAAAATAGTAAAAATTATAGTTATTGGACAGTTTATTTAGTTACAGCACACTCAAAAATAGTTATTGGACAACTGCTTTAACACAATAACAAACTAGAAACAAATGAAAATTACAAGAAACCCCAAAGATTTCTGTGCGGTATGGGGTACCTATATACAGTTGATACAATTAAATTTTATAATTGCCTTTGTGGTTCTTTGTATTGAGTGAAAAGTTCGTCAATCACTCTAGGATACTGTTATTAGCATCGGAATAATTATCCTGCAGATTGAAGCAGTTGTAACATATAAATAGATCACCATCGTTAGGTATATTCTGTCTATGCTTAACAGGAATAAAACATTCGTAATAATGAAGACAACAGTCATCGCATTTTAATTTATTCGATTGAATATTATTTGAACAAATAGAACATTTGACTTTTTTGAATTCTTTTTGTTGCTACACTGGTTTTCCAAAATTTTTGTTCTCTTTTCCGTTTCTTTTCTTGTTTTTGTTTTTTTTTGCTTTTCTTTTAACTCCTCCTTTTTTCGTAACTTTTCCTGATATCGTGCAGGTGTAATTACAAAAGTAAGTCGTTCCGTGTTACGATTTTTTCTTTCCGGTACAGTAGAAGTTAAAAAATTACCCAACAATTCGTGTTTAACAATAATTTTACTTCTAGAGGCTAAGTCATAAACATCAGGTTTATATTGTTAAATGTGGATATAATAGCATTGGTACTACTACTTTCAGAAATATTTACATTTTCCTTAACCCCTATGTATTTCAAATGGGGTTGATGAGTCGTTTTGAATTTTTACTGCTGATAGCATTTTCGCCATTGTCACTTTTATCAAACATATGAGTTTTTTGAAATTCCTAACTCATTCATAGCGTTGTAAAGACTTGGTCTTAAGACACTGTTATATGCCGCTTTAAAATCGACAAAAATATGATACATACTCTTTCATCTTAATTGTATTTATTACATTTTTTCATTCTTCTCAGCACTTTTGTCATATGCGGATCCAAGGAGGTGCGACGGGGAGATCGCCCCTTTCCCTTTATTGCTTTTTAGTTAGGTTTTTATTGCTGGTTATGAATTTAAATTATTTTTGCCATACCAGATGTGCTGTATTTTTATATTTTTGGCATATTTACAAAACCTTAACCAATACAAAACCAAAAGTTTACTCATTTTACTTTTATAGATTTATTTACTTTTACTTAGTGTATTATTCGTGATAGGCACGAATTTAAGATTATTATGATTAATGTTACCTACTCACATTATGAATAACCCATTATGTCAACACCTGCATTGGCTTTCTACCACATAAGTAGTTTAAGATGCAAGTAGCATTGTCTTGCTGTGGCAATAAGCATCGACTTGCATAATAACAGGGTGATTCACCAACAATAGAAAGTCCAATTTTGAACTAGGTCTCATTGTAGTAACCGCGGAAATCTTCCCGAACATATATATATATATATATATATATATATATATATATATATATATATATATATATATATATATATATAATATATATATATATATAATGAATACTGGATATTCGTGACTGTCAATTTAAACAAACAACAAAGTTTATTGGGGCTGCAGTCAGAAGTTTGGCCGGGATGTTACAGAAACACTCTTTTGACTTTTGGTCTAGCTTTCGGAATTGTTTAATTCCTTTATCAAGACATAGTCGTTGAGATTATTTGTAAGAAGCTATGACACTCAACATTAATAACAAACATATAAACTATAACTTATACAATAATGGATACAATACATTTTAAAATTTAGTTAAAAATAATAAAAGTTCTAAAAATTCGTTTTCTACATCTTCTTGGTGTGTTTTAACTTACCCAAGAGTGGGTAAGTTCCCGGCTCGGAAACCGGCTCGGAAACCCTCCCTAAAATAACCTCTTCGGAAATTAGACATGCCTTACAGCAAATGAAAAACAAAAAAGCTCCTGGCGAGGATCGTATAACGTCTGAAATGTTAAAAATGGGCGGCAACATCGTTGTAGAAGTTGTGGAAGTCTTACTGAATAAGTGTCTAACAGAAAAAAGAATACCCAGCCTACGGGAAAACGCCGAAATAATACTTTTACACAAGAAAGGAGACACTACTAATATTGAAAACTACAGACCTATAAGTTTGTTATCACACTTATACAAATTGTTAACAAGAATAATAACCAACCGCATAACTCAAAAACTTGATTTATATCAACCGGTTGAACAGGCGGGATTTAGAAAAGGGTTTGATACTAATGATCACTTACAAACCATCAGAACACTAGTAGAAAAAACCACAGAATATAATGTACCTTTACATATGGCATTTATCGACTTTCACAAGGCTTTCGATAGTATTGAGACTTGGTCGTTTTTGTCAGCCCTGAAGGATGCTCGAATAGACTCACGGTACACCACACTCATTAAAAACATTTATGAACAGGCCACATTCCACATCAAAATCAATGAAGACGAAAAAACTGAAAAAATGCGCCTTGATAAAGGTATTAGACAAAGTGATACTATTTCACCAAAGCTTTTTACCTTAGCATTGGAAAATGTATTCAAACAGCTTGACTGGGAGGAAAAAGGTCTAAATATTGATGGTGTACGTTTGAGTCATTTGAGGTTTGTGGATGACATAGTATTATTTAGTACAGATATCAAGGAACTGGAGCAAATGTTGAAGGAATTAAACCAGCAGTCAAATAAAATAGGTCTCAAAATGAACCTTCAGAAAACAAAAATAATGAGTAATTTACAAACTAATCTTGTTATTGACAACGTCAGTCTTGAAAATGTAGACCACTATATATATATCTTGGACATACCATTAAAATCGGCAAAGAAAATCAAATAGCCGAAATAAAAAGACGCATACAACTGTCTTGGGGAGCTTTCGGCAAATTAAGCTTTATTTTGAAGAATAAAGATATACCAATGTGTCTAAAACGTAGACTTTATGACAAATGTATCTTGCCTGTAACTACATATGGACTGGAGACCATGACCTTCACAAAGAAAACCTTAGAGCAGCTCAGTACAACCCAAAGAGCAATGGAGAGGGCCATGCTAGGGATTAGTTTGAGAGACAGGATTCGAAATAACGTCATTCGTGAAAGAACAAAAATTACTGATGTCCCAGAACGTATTGCAAGGCTCAAGTGGCAATAGGTCGGACATTTTGCCCGAGATAATCCCGAAAAATGAACACAAAGATTAACAAACTGGAGACCAAGAGAGAACAGGCGAGGAGTAGGCAGACCGCAGAAGAGGTGGACAGACGATATCAAACAAGTCGCGGGCAAGCAGTGGATGAGAATTGCCAAAAGTAGAAATCGATGGAAGCACATGGAAGAGGCCTATGTCCAGCAGTGAACGAACACAGGCTGAAGAAGAAGAAGATCACATTATTTTGAATGTATTATTCAGATAGTTGATTTATTTTAACTTAGAAATTTTTTTACTGAAAAAATTTATTTATGCTAAGAAACTTCAACAAAAGCATAACAGACTTAATTCATTAATTTCCCTAAAATCGTCTTTAATTTAAGCGTAGGTGTGTACAAATAATACTAACAATACAAACTGTTTTTGTTTTATTTATATATTTTAACAATAATAGTCTACTTAATATTTCTAACAATTATATCTAAACATATAAAAATATTCTACCAGTCTTTTGAAATCATATCAGCCGCTTTCTCCCCTATCATTATTGCAGGTGCATTTGTATGTCCTGCTATAATATTTGGCATAATAGATGCATCAACCACTCGAAGGCCTTGAATTCCATACACTTTTAGCGACGGGTCAACTACAGAATCAGGATCAGTCTTTGGACCCATTTTACAGGTACCTACATGATGTTGTTCAGAAACTGCAACTTGCCGTACAACACATTTCCAATAGTCATCACTGCCAAATATGAATGTTTCACATCCAGGAAAGGGAGATTTATTTATCTTCGTATTGTATCTTTTAAAAGGTTCAGATTCTGCTATTTGCATAACCTACAAATTATTGAAGTCGATACATTAGTAAACACAAGAATCAAAAATACACCAAAATACAGTTGAATCCATGGTTTTTTACCCGTGATTCATGATTTAAAGCATACCAAATCAGTCGGAAATCTATACCATGCAACAGCAAGTGACAGAAAGTGGCTACTGCTCCAACCATGGATTATATTATAAAATTTGATAAAAAAGACAGCAAATATTTTAATTTCACGCAAACAGCTCCAATGTATCTGTTGATACGTATTTCGGCCTACTAGGTCTCATCAGAACAGTTATTCATAGGTGTTCTCAACGTGAAAAATCAATATTTTCTGTCTTTTAAGAAGCAACACTAAAATGGCTTCAATACGGACGCGATAGCGACATCTAATAATAAAATCCGTAAAATAGTTTCGAAACACAATTCAGATTTCTGCTTATAATCTGAGCCTTCTAAAAATTTCAAGGCAAACAGACGTTGATAAAAGATGTTAAAAGGGGCATGGGGAATCTAAAATTTGCATTCCACGGCATGTCTTTACAACTAAGCAGAAATCCTCAGCGAATTGTGTTTTTCGTACTCACACAGAGTATATCAGAATAAAATGAAAAAGACAGCAAATATTTGATTTCACGCAAACAGCTCCTATGTATCTGTTGATACGTATTTCGACCTAATAGGTCTCATCAGAACAGTTATTCATAGGTGTTCTCAACGTGAAAAATCAATATTTTCTGTCTTTTAAGAAGCAACACTAAAATCGCTTCAATACGGACGCGATAGCGACATCTAATAATAAAATCCGTAAAATAGTTTCGAAACACAATTCAGATTTCTGCTTATATTCTGAGCCTTCTAAAAATTGCAAGGCAAACAGACGTTGATAAAAGATGTTAAAAGGGACATGGGGAATCTAAAATTAGCATTACACGACATGTCTTTACAACTAAGCAGAAATCCTTAGCGAATTGTGTTTCTCGTACTCACACAGAGTATATCCGAATAAAATGAAAAAGACAGCAAATATTTGATTTCGCGCAAACAGCTCCTATGTATCTATTGATACGTATTTCGACCTAATAGGTCTCATCAGAACAGTTATTCATAGGTGTTCTCAACGTGAAAAATCAATTTTTTCTGTCTTTTAAGAAGCAACACTAAAATGGCTTGAATACGGACGCGATAGCGACATCTAATAATAAAATCCGTAAAATAGTTTCGAAACACAATTCAACTTCATCATTTTAACATCTTTTATCAACGTCTGTTTTCCTTGCAATTTTTATAAGGCTCAGATTATAAGCAGAAATCTGAATTGTGTTATCTGTGTGTGTCTGTGCTTATCTTGACAAGCAGAGTTCGCATTCTGATTGTTTATTATTCTGTGACTAGACCAAGCACCATTTTCTCAATTTGCGGATTATGGCGCTTTTAAAAGACAAAGGTCAGTATTCACTCAATCCAAAAGACGTTAGGTGAATACACTTAGAATGCTTACGATATCCTGAGAGAATTTTTCAGGGTACACTTTACTGTGTTTAAAACGAAACTTCTATTACTAGACTCATGTCATCAGACTGGACTGGATACCGTAACTCATGATTCTAGGGAAAACTGACGTAACGTAAAAAAAATATCCAACAGTTCTACAGAACAGAAATGACCTTATGCACAAAAAAATATGTATACTGGAATAGCTCCTATGTTCTCCTACAATTATCCCTGGTCATAAAATAAATCCAGTAAATAGAAAATAGAACATAGTTTAAGAAATAAAAACTTTAATTTTATTCTAACATTGCAGGTTATTATGAAGTAAAAGGAATTATATCTATTCTTACCACTTTAAGTCCTTCAACTAATGTATTCACATCTTCTTCGCTTTTAAAATAGTTTGTTAATATAACAGGAGCTTTCATCGGATCTTTATTTTCTAAATACACCCTTCCTCTACTCTTTGGCTTCAGAATAAATGGGTTGATACTAAAAGAAGGTTTCCCTATGTGTGGCGCAAAAACTTTCCTAAAGATCTTGGTAGGTATACCAACGAAGTTGCCGATTAGACCAAATAATAAACTATTAAAGGAAGATGCTCCAAGTACTAACTCCATATCTGGGTAGTCGTGTGTGGGAGAGGCATATTTTGTCTTTATAAATGCCAAAGCTTCAGCACCTCCTGGTAAAGTTAAAGGACCCTTACCTATAATAAACAAACCTGATATTACATTTAGATTGGTATTCATTTAGCACTGTTAACCCAACAAGATATAAGAAAAAAGTGTAGCAAATCCTTACAAGCATAAATTATATAAAAAAATATCAACGACATTTAACGAGTAATTTTGTTGCTCAAATACAGAGATTCGAGAAAACATCCAAATATTTTTACATTATTGGCATAAAAACATGTAAAATAAACAAAATTTGTTGCTGTTAGCAATAATTAATATTTATAGGAAAAAACAAAAATTTGAACTTCTGGGCACCCTCAGGAAATACCTGAGCGGCGGCTCATTAGAACCTATATAAAATTGTCTGGATCCGACTAGCCGCAATCATGGTTATGGTAGGAGTTGCAGTAGTGATCCTTAGCTTTTATTATAAAAGAGAAAGGTTAGAATGTTACGAGAAAAACAAAGTTAAGGTTATATAAAACAATAATACTGCCGTGCTAAGCAAGAAGGCAGTATCTCCAATTTTTACAATTTTCGAGTTTGCTTTTTTATATGGGTTCTTATACAATTATTAATATACCAAACTAAGTTAAAAAGCAGTAAGCGTTTATTCCTTGGTCTGATAGAAAATTAAAATTACAGTAACTCAACTTGTTGTTAGGCATTCCTTAGTTAAAAGGCAGTAAGTACCTTATACAAGCCTAAAAGGTAGTATCTCCTACAGAAAATGGAGACACTGCTTTTTAATCTAGCACCTGCTTAAGTTTTCTCGCGACATGCCCCACCACATATTCATATCACAATATCACAATTCTTAGTTTCTGTATGTAAAGAGTGAAGCCGGAAGCATGAGTAAGTTTCTTTCAGTTTATTCTAATTAGTCACACTGTGTGTACGTGTTCATATCAATAATAAAGATTACAGTACATGATTTTCTTTCAAAAAGTGTTAGGTATGTATTATTATCGACTTGATTGTTAATAGGTTTATTGTCATATATTATTTTGTTACAGTTAACAGTTAACCTAACGAAATTTAAAACATGGGAACCCGTGGTAAGAAAATAATGCAAATGCTGCAGACAATGGAAGTTATCAATCCAAGTTATGGTGAGGAACCGCATGATAGTGAAGAGATAGAAGGTAAAATATATATGAACTTAGAACCCGTTAGGCTACAAATCTCTGAAAGTGAAAATTCAGCTTTGCCAGCTACATCCACTTTAACGAGTTTTTAGGCTGATTCTGATGACTCACTTAAAGACCCTGACTTTTTGCAGTCTAGTTCAGATGGTAGCGTTGAATCAGAATCGGACGACAGTTCCAGACCTACTAATAAGAGTTGTAACAATAAGAACATTACTACAGCTGGTTCAACAGGTGCCATAGCTTCAACAAGTTCTGCCGTATCTTGCAGTGAAAATTTCGATGAAACGTATAATACTAAAAAGGGAAAACTGAGAAAGAGAAATGATAAAACAAAAAAAGAAAATATTTCCTTTGCATCGTTGGGCCATGAGGAGTGCAATTTGTGTAAGAGTTTTACGCTTCACAATCCTGAACATACCGAACAGTCATTATCGGAGGATTGTAGTAACTTTAACTTTTGGAAAGAACACATCAAAAAATCTAACACAATAATCAAAGAACTTTTCACTGGCCAATGTTCTACACTCAAAAAGCCTTTTCGAAATCTATGAACGTCATATATAGAGGAATGTGGTATTCATTTGCTCGTTCTATAAGAACTTTCATACTTAGTAAATGGTCACTTGTGCTGAATCCCTTTCCCCCGTCGGAAAGAAACAGAAAATCAAATCCTTTGCGTGCCTCTGGCATGAATGCATATCAGGAACAAAAAAGGAAGACTTGATAAGTGCATTTTATGCATTTATGTTGCACATGCGTGATGTAGAACATAATACAATCATTTGACTTGACAACTGTGCGGGCCAAAACAAGAATTGGTCACTGTTCTCATACTTAATATACATTATCAATTCTAATATAATTACAGCACAGACCTTTAGATATTTTGAACCAGGTCATTCCTTTATGTCAGCTAACAGTTTTCACCACCAGGTGGAGCAGTCTTTGCAGCGATTGAAAAAGGTTTATGACTTCGCTGATTTTGTGTATTGCGTTGTCAGCTAATTCTGGAAAGGTTGAGACCAAAGAAATCAAGCTTGAGGATTTCTTTGTTTGGCCTGACAACTCATCAATTTACAAAATAAACCATACAACACCACGACCCTACTTGAAAGACATGGTTGAAGTTGTTGCTAAGCTAGGAAGCAAAAGTTTTTAAAATTTAAAGTAGCCAAGTATGGCTTCAAAGAACCTGCCAGATGTTAAGATCGAAGTTTGATAATATTTAATAAGTGGATTTTGTGTTTTTTCAATAATTAATAATCTGTTTTGACTAATTATTTGTTTTTCAACAAAATGTAGAGTTAAGCTGAATAATGTTTTAAGAAAGTTCTTAACTAATAAAGTTAATATAACGAAATAATTTTTGTTGTCACTGTGCTTTTCGTTGAAGAAATATTACACTAAAAAGCAGTAACCTCAAACTAATTGGAGTTACTGTTTTTTATGTAATTCATTCTTAAGGGTTTTAATTATATACCTTGCTTAAAAGCAGTATCTGCCATTTTCATTAAAATTTATAAAAATAGCTTACAAAAAAATAAACTTATTCAATGATATCAAAAAGAACTACAACACAGTTAAACAATTCCGGAATCCATAAATAAATATATGGTGGCTCAGCCCTGTTTATTAAAATCTGCATTATCTCAAAACTTACATTTGTGGAGATACTGCCTTTTTGCTTAGGACGGCAGAATACGCTACATACAATGCGAACAGTAATAAAAGCAAATACGGAGACATTGGAAAGATAGGAAAAAATGTTCAGAGCTATATGTAGAGGCAAAAACATGGTGGAAAGTTAGATGCTGCGGACACTGCAAAGGAACTGTATAACGATCCAAGCTTCAGACGCTACATAAAAGTACAGATAGTGAGATGCATGGGGCATGTGATGAGAATGAACAGGAAGAAGATTCCAAAGATGATTCTAAAATGGGAGCCCAATCAGAAGGAAAGGACGACCCGCACAAAGATGGTTTGATAGCGTACATGAAGATTTCAAAAAAGAGGGAATTGATGGCTGGGAAGAAATGGGAAGAATGAAGTTTTGTAATATATAAGTAATATATTAATTGTATTATTTGCATTTTAGCCCTAGGCCTTTTAAGGACTGTTGCGCTTTGTAAATAAATAAATAAATTTAATAAATTACCTTGAAAAAAATATTGGTACCAAGTCCAAGGATTAACAGCTAACATATCGTTAAAAGTAACACTCTCATTAACAAAAATTGCTTGTAGTATAACGCCCACGTGGTCTTGCATATTATATCCTACACTTAGGTTCTGAATACAAGAGATTCCCTTATCCTCAAGGTGTTCCTTAGGACCTATTCCTGATATCATTAAAAGGTGCGGACTGTTAATAGTGCCTGCACTTAGAATTATCTCTTTAGTAGCTAGAACTGTGTGTTTTATTCCATATTTAATAAATTGAACTCCATAAGCTTTCTTGGTGGAATGACCAATTAAGATTTTTGTTACTGTAGCAGATGTGAGAAGCTCAAAATTTGGTCGTTGTAATATTGGATTAATAAATGCTTTCGCTGTACTGCATCTTCTTCCATTTCGTTCAGTTCCTTTTACTTTCGAAAAACCTAAAATATAACAAAAATTAATATATTTTAATGTTAAAAATTAAAAATAATATACTCTAAATAATACTATATACAATAAATTTTTAGACACAAGAGTTGGCTTAATTTGACCAAAACATTTACTGTTCACTAAAAACAGATCAACGGAAGCATGAAAAAAAAAAAATAAAAAACGTCCGATATTATACAGATAATTATAGGAATGGACAAGCATTACACAAAATTATTGCAGGAGAATAGACCGAAGTATATCTCACAAGACCCGATGATAACACTAACAGAGGAAGCCGAAATCACAGAGGAAGATATAAATACAACACTAAAGAAAACGAAAAACAACAAAGTACTAGGACCAGAAATCTTAAAAACGGAACTGCGGAAGTGCCGTTCAATCAAATCGAAGCAGAACAGATTCCAGATGAATGAAATTTATCATGCATGTCCTCCATTTAAAAAAAAGGCGACAAAAGGTCACCAAATAACTATAGAGGGATCAGTGTAAAACCTTTAATAGTAAGAATCTTTTCCACAGTAATACGAGAAAACATAGAACAACACATGGGCCATTATGGGGAAGAATAAGCCGTATTCCGAAATGCCAGATCGTGTCCAAATGATAGATTTATCATTAGACAGGTAATAGAAAAGATCAAACAGAAAAATATTGAAATGCATGTTACATGTTGTTATATTTGGAATGGGCGAACTAAATAATCGAGAAAAATGATTCATACAGTTTGTCATCTACAGTAAATTTAGTCTCATCAACACAATGCTTAAACATCAACCACGAAGGTTATCAACTTGGAATTCATTGGGGTATCAGCAAACGATAAAAAAATTCAGTGGCCAATATAAAAACAAAACCAGCGATTGCATAAAACAATGGAAGAACCAAATATATAGCCAAAAGGCCTGAAAAATTCAAAGGAATACTGACTTAGTAATACGCCTTAAAATAACCAGATCAGCATTGGCCAAACACCATTGCTGAAGGGCCAAACACCAAAACAGAAGGTTGGAAATCATCATGGCTATGCGGACTCTGTTGACTGCCGCTCTTAAAAGTTCTGCACTACTGCATTCAAACCATTCCCCTAAGTTATTAAGCCAGATATTCTTCGTCTTCCCACATTTCGCTTTCCTCGGATTTTGCCCTTTGAATCCATGATATTCGTAGGATTCTTCTGTAACACCGAAATTCAAAGGCAGCCAACTTATTCAGATGAGCTTGTTTTAGTGTCCAAGCTTCCAAACCATAAAGAAGAGTAGAGAACACGTAACATCGAAGCATTTTCAGGCGTAGTTCTAACCTTATATCCCGACAACAAAGAAACTTTTTAAGTTTAATAAATGATATACGTGCTATTTCAATACGTGTCTTAATTTCTTTGGTTTGGTCTACATCTGATGTTATCCATGTTCCTAAGTATTTATAGTTACTAACACTCTCAATTTCAGTATCTTCAATAGTCAATTGGATATTTGCATGTGCAGATTTAGTCATGATCATGCATTTAGTTTTCTTTAAATTTATCTTCAGTCCGCACTCATGATAGCGTTCATTAAGGCGTTGCATTACGTTCTGTAAATCATTGTTGTTATCCGTAATTATTACTGTATCGTCTGCAAAACGTAAGTTATTCAAAACTTCTCCATTGATAGATATACCTTCTATTGAGTGAGAACGCTTCTTGCAATACCGCTTCACTGTAGACATTGAAAAGTAGTGGGGACAGCACGCAACCCTGGCAGATTCCTCTGTGTATTTTGATATTTTCGGTGTACTGGCTGTCAACTCTTACCTTGGCAGTTTGATTCCAATATAAATTAGATATAATTTTCAGATCACGACTGTCAATATTTTTGCTTTTTAATATATCTACAAGCTTTTTACGTTAAACTTTATCAAATGCCTTTTCAAAGTTTACAAAACATAAGTACATATCCTGATTCATGTCCATGCATCTCTGAGCCAGCACATTCAAGCCGAACAAAGCATCTCTTGTACTCATACCATTTCTAAAGCCAAATTGTGTGTCACTAATCTCATATTCAAGAGTTTTAACAATTCTGCTGTGAATTATTTTCAAAAATGTTTTAAGTGTGTGACTCATTAAAGCTATTGTTCTGTGGTCTGAGCAAGTTGTTGAACTTGGTTTTTTGGGAATTGCTACAAAGGTTGATTGCAGCCATTGTCTGGGGATTGTGGCAGTCTGATATATTAGATTAAAGAGTTTAACCATTACATCAATAACATCTTCATCGATGAGTTTTAATAATTCGATGGGCACCTCATCTGGTCCAGTAGCTTTACCCTCTTTTGTGTTTTTGATGGCATAGATGACTTCTTTTTTTAATATTGGTGGTCCGGTATCCTCGGTGATTTCTAATGACTTACGACGCTTTGGAAGACACTTTGCTGGTCAGCAACTTGAGTTTGTCGCATACCAACTTGAAGGAGGTCCACAGCTCTATTCATCTCGTCCAACGTTAAATGTTGTCGTTGCACGGTAAAAAGACAATATCTTTAACTCACCTATTAAGCAAGAATGGTATAAAGTGACTAAAATTAAAAATAAACAAAACATAAAAATGTCGATTTTTTTGTCCCTTATAAAAAACATTCTAAAACACATAGTGCTATCAGTTTTACAATTTTTTTTTTTTTGATAAGAAGTGAGTGTGTGTATCAAAAATGATATTAAAAGCAAATTTATATAGTCATGAAATTTTTGTCATTGGTATTGTCAAATTATTAAAATATCCTGAGACTTTTGCGTTGTATATATATATATATATATATATATATATATATATATATATATATATATATATATATAGTAAGTAGTAAAGTGTCAAATATATCACTATTATATGACTTACCCAATTGTTGACGACCATTTGGATCCGATTTGTTGTATCCCATCTCTTGGCCAGCTTTTATAAATAAATTAACTATAGGTGATTCCCAACCTGGAGGTTCTACATTTAATGGTCCATCATTACTGTGAAACTCCTTATCAACGTCATTACATTTTTCACAATTTTCAGATTTTAAGAAATAGGGTAGAACTTCATCATATGACCAACCTGTATTTCCTAATGCTGCCCATTCATCATAATCTAATCTACAATGATTATACAATAAACATAAAAAAAATATTTTTTAGCATCTTATAAGAAAATTATATACACTTTTCTAAATTGTTGAATTTCTACTTCGTTTTTTATCAACATGAGAAACTATTTGTAGATGACAAATTTGTCGAAATTTATATTGAAAACAAATGTTAAAATTTTTCTACGAATTGAACACATTTCAAAATTTTGCAAATAGACTATTATAATTATATTATAATATACTATTACATATTATGTCTGTAGTTGCCGTAAATAAATTAAACCGGGTTAATTTGTCTATGCACACCAGATAAAATATCACTGAACAGCACTGGTTCCGTTTAAAACATGGCTGATTCAGTCTGCGTGAACGAGATGCGCGTACTTATTTTTTCAAGCAGAGTGGTCATTCTGATTGTTTATTATTTTGTGGTTCTGATAACAGATAATTTAAAAGAGATTGAAACTTATGGTACCAATCGAAAATCTAAAAGTCGACGCATTTGAAAAAGAAGACATGCGACCAATGTGTGCTTCCAGTCATCACTTACGCCGCAAAAACACTTAACACTGAACACCTTAACCCAGGCCACAGCAACCAAACTCAGTAGTACAGAAACGAATGGAACTCTCTTTACTAGGACTGACCCTCAGTAAAATTGGGCATGACATGTGGCCAGAATAAATGACGGGCGGTAGACCCAAAAAATTACAGTATGCTGCATTACCACGAGCTGACAGAAGAAACAAAGAGAGACCACCTACACTATGGACAGACATCGTCAATAGATTCGTTTGAAACTGGTTGCAGGAAGCTCAAGAATTACCGACAGAACTGAAAGAATTAATGTGAAACTACATTCATTCTGCAAATTCCCAACTGTCAACAAACGCATGTGTTGATATTAGCCTTCTCATTCGTCAAGAGCTATTGACGAACACTATTCGGATATAAGAGCTATATACGAACATTCTTCTTCTTCTTCATGTACCATGTCCTTTCAGAACGTTGGTTACCATCATAGCTATTTTAATTTTATTCACTGCCACCCTAAATAGCATGCTTGTATCTACACCATACCAATCTCGCAAGTTCTTCAACCATGAGGTTCTTCTTCGTCCTGGACTGCGTTTGCCTGCTATTTTGCCTTGCATGATATTTTGTAGCAATCTATATTTGGGGCCTCTCATTACATGTCCGAAATATTCCAGCTTTCTCTGCTTGATGCTTTTTATGATCTCAGTAGTCTTGCTGAGACGTTCAAGTATTGTGGAGTTACGAATCTTCTCCACCCAGGAAACTTTTAAAATTCTTCTATAGCACCACATTTCGAAAGCCTCAAGGCGATTTAGATCGATTTTATTCACAGTCCAGGACTCGACAGCATAAAGTAAGACCGAACACGTAGCAGCGAAGTAGGCGGATCCTTAATGCCAATTTTAGGTCTCTGTTACATAACACCTTGGACATCCTTCTAAAAGCAGCTCTAGCCTGCTCTACTCTGGATCTAATTTCGCCGTGATTTTCTTCATTACAATTTAATTGCTGTCCAAGGTAGACGATTTTATCAACTTGCTCAAGTTTGGTATTATTTACATATATAGACGGTTTTATATTCTGTTGTTTACTTATTACAAGTATTTTGGTTTTCCTTATGTTAAGATCCAGACCTGCCTCCCTACAACTCTCAACGACACTATCAAGTAGTGTTTGCAGATCTTCTTGACTAGAAGCTAGGAGTACTGTATCGTCATTCTTCATTCATTGCCTCATTCTTCGTAACACGAACATTCTTAACGCTATTAAATATACACTATTGTCTTAAGCCAGACGGATTCTCATTTTACAGGTCCAAACTTGCCAGTCTGTTTAAATTAACTTAATTAATTAATTAATTAGTTTAAATTAATAAACACTTAGTGGTGTTGAGGTTTCTTCTACATAAACACTGTTGCAGGTACAATCAATTTTATAAATGATATTTATCATTTATAAAATCAGTAAATCAGTAAAAGTACATGTTCATAGATGACAACGGATAATCATTTTTGCTTAAATCGTTTGTTCGCAGCACTTCCTTTCTTCAAATGTATTTTCGTTAGAAAGGGGTTTGTAAGGATAACAAATAAATACACTTTTACAACAACATTCAAAAAAACTAACGCGCATCTTAAATTATTGAAGTTATTTTATTAGAAGTTCTTGTTTTAGGTAATCTAATACCTTCCCTATCTGCATCCACTTACATGGTAATAACTCTTAAATTAATTCTGGTTTTAAAAAGTAAATATTTAAGTTGGAATCCAAAAAGAAAGTAATATCATGATAATTAGATCAGGATATTAAATGTTGATGTGCAAGACAAGGGCAAGCAAAATAATACAAAGACAAAAACATTTTTGTAGGGTTTTCTTCACGTGAAAGATATTTTAAGGCAAAAAACTAAGACTTACTTATTTCCTCGAGTATATACCATAAAATTAGTTACTGACGTTCCTCCTACTGCTTTTCCTTTTGCTATAAGGCATGTACCGTCTATGGTACCAAGACATGCTGTCGGAATTTTTTCAGTTTTAAAGCCCCAATCATATGGGTACCTTGAATTTATACCAGCTGCAGTAGGAATGTCAGTTAGCGGGTCAGCAAATATACCAGCTTCGATAGCTAAAACTTTCCAACTAGGATTTTCTGACAATCTGTTTGCAACTACACTCCCAGCTGAACCTGGAACATAAGAGATATTTTACAGATTAAAAGATGCAACAAAGTAAACTTCAAATAATTAACAAAATAAATATATCATCTGGATATACATATATTATATATGTATATTCAAAAATAACAGTGTAAATTAAAATTGAATACTGATCTGAAGGATAAGTCAAAACCATAGATCACAAAATAAGTTTGTAGCTGCTAATCTTAACCCGTCAAGGACGAAGTTTTCTAAAATCTTTATTTTACATAAATAATACAAATAACTCTTATGAATGGACAAAACTTACTTATAAAAAGACAAAAATAATTATTAAATATATTAAAACCTAAAAATATTGCCTGTTGCCAAATGGCAACGCTAGGTTCCTATGGCTACATTAACCGAATGAAATAAAAGTAAAAAATATTCTATGAAATTGAGAGATAATCGGCAAAAAACTTTCTATAGCTGTGTATGAAATTTAACATTACACTTTGTGCACAAACCTACTTTACATTTGGCGCATCTTGTTCTCATGATCGACCTGCATTCTTCACCTGCACACCTAATTTTCTTTTTATTTGGTACTGGTTCCAGTAAATGCCCAACTCCATCGTATCTAATATCATCAGATACTCTATGAAAGGAACGACTTGAGAGTGAACTAGACGGTCGGCCACCTTGTTTTGCTGGCACTCCGTATTTGGTCAGATAGGCTTGCACAATTTCACGCCTAAACTCTAACTGTGTCAACTTGTTGCCGGATTTTTTATGTAGCACCCACGCATTTTGTATAGTCGCATCTAGCATCCAGGTAATCAAGCTCCAGTACCATTTTTTGCCCTCATTCCTATTCTAAAGCGGTTTATATTTTCGTCCATTAGGTCGGTGCCCCCCATTGCATTATTATATTCACCAATCAGGCATGGACTTTGAACCTGGATGATTTTCTTTTCAGCTTGTGAATATCTTTTCACGAGCGATTGTGGTTCCACCCCATAACATGTTGACGCTACACTTACGACGCTGTTATCCAACCATCTTACAACTATAATACCAGTTTCTCTCGAGAGAATCGACTCTACATCACCCCTTTTGCGTTTCTGCGTATTAGCTTTCGATTCTATAGGGCAGTTTTTTGGGAATGCGATTTTCCCGTATTGTTCCGGTAAGGCTATAGCCACGATCCTTTATATGTTTCAAAAGGTGGAGGCTCGTAAATAAATTGTCGCAGAAAAATTTGTAGGGTAATCTTGATTTATCATTGGGCAGTTCATCGAGCATTGTGACGAATGGAGCCGCACATACTCCAAAAACTTTATAATAATGATTATTTGCTTTGGGATCGGTTCCTTGGTACATGTTGAAGCTTACAAGATACCCACTTTTAGTGTTAAGGCACCAAACTTTGTATCCGAAACGAATCGGCTTTCCTTTTATGAACTGTTTACATGAGTGGCGTCCAAAGTATTTCACCATAGATTCGTCGTAATTTAATTCGCCTTCAGGGACGTAATATTCTTTACATTTTTTCTGTAAATAGTCAGCTAAGGGTCTGATCTTGTAATATTTGTCCCTTTCATCGATGGCTTCATTATTTGCAAGGTGGAAAAAACGCCAAATTGTAAGGAACCGATCTCTTCGCATAGCGTTCATGACCATTGCATTACCCATATCGTCTTTCGTATCCCAGTAAAATTTTTTTTCCGGGAGCCAATTATACCACGATAGAATCAAAATGGCAAAGAAACACCTCATTTCTCCTGTAGAAATTTTGGGGTCGGGAAAGTTGTTCTGTAGTGCATAACTCGTGCATTGGTTGAGAATGTAACTAATTATATCCTCGTCGAAAAATAATTCGAACATCTCGACAGGTGTCAACGTATTGAATGGTTCGTAGCTATATTCTGGGAAACTAGCGGCATTGTCGACCAAATCACCCGTTATCCAATTTAGGGACTCGTATTCAATTTTCTTCACTTGAGAGGTAGTTTGTGGGATGAAACTTCCGCTGTTTCCTGGGAAATATCCATCGCTTGAACTGCATCTTCTTCGATGTCGTCATCCTCCTTGTCTGCTTCTTCGCCATACATTTGCATCTCAACATTTGCTTCCAGCTGTTTTCTAGACAGATTGCGATGAATAAAAACAAAATATTGTAAAAGATCGCTTTTTTTCAAGGGTTGTCAAATATTCACAGAGGGAAAATGACCTTTCTATTAGAGCATAATTGTTACTTTAGCCACTTAGATGTAATAGTTATTCAGAAGTAATTGACAAATTGAGCTACTTACACAAATCTTATATCCATTTTTACAACTATCAAAAACGGTGGCTATAAAATCTCACAAACACCAACGAATTAAGTTTTTCTTAGGTGTATATCTTCAAATAACTTATTTTATGCAGACCGGCACGTTCTTGGAAACAAAACAAACTAACATAACCTCAAAATAATAAGATTCGTACGTCAATACCAGTGTTGCCATATGGCAACTCCAGTCCTTCATGGGTTAAGAGTATACCTAGTGAAATAGAGAGGCCAATCATTTTTCTAAAACTATATCTATTGTTATTATGAACGCCAAACTTATTGAAAACAAAAATTTTTCCCTGAATGATAAGAATTCTGTGACACCTCAAAATATAATCAATGTAGATATTCGATGAGTTCCGATAAAATTTTGTCAAAATCAAAAATGTATATTATAATCTGAAATTCCTAGAATTATGTATTTCATTATTATATTAGAAATGCTGTATTTTCTGATAAAGATAAAATATAATAACGAAGTATTATAACCCCTTCCCTCGCTCAACCGTTTCCATCTCTCCCTGTTGTCCCATTCTCCATCGTTTAGGCCTCTCTTACTCATGGCGTCGCCTACTTCGTTCCTCCAGGATCTTTGGGGTCGTCCTCTTTTCCTCGTTCCTATGGGGCTCCATTTGGTTATTCACTTTATCCATCTGTTGTCGCTAGTTCTTCTTACATATCCACACTTTGGTTTTTTTGTTCTATATATGTTAGTATGTCTGTTTCTATCGATGTCCTTTGCTTTATTTCGTCATTACTTCTCCTATCCATTCTTGTTACTCTGCAGCATCTTCACAGGCATTCCATCTCTGTTGCTACTATCTTACTGCTATTTTTCTTGTTTATTATCCAATTTTCAGCCCCATATGTCATAATACTTCGCATTCAATGTTTTATAAATCTGTGTTTGTGTCTTAAAACACGTATCAATCGTAAGAACAAAGTTCGTAAAATTTAATCCCGTATTTCGTTTTTTTATTTTTCATATAAGATCTAAATGATAGCCGACCACGAAATAATAGTAAGGACTCATCAAAAGACAACTGTGCACCTGATGTATAAGAGTCTTGAACATTTCTGAGAGACATATTTAGTAGGCTTTTAATCTTGTAAAGTCGATCATTCGGATTAAGAATATCGTCACCACTGTGCACGGAAAAACACCGTAAAATTTGTTCGAATTGTCTGCAGTTCATTATGTACGAGAATATTGGATGGTAGTTTAATGGATCAAAACTAAACAATTAATTTGCCTTTAATTTGCCCTTGTAGCAAACATAAACCAAAAAATTTTTTCATTTCCTCTTTGGAAGTCTCTTTAAAAGTAATTCTACGTGAATGTCTGGTTTTGGGGCGTGATTGTCTAGTTAAGGATTTCCCATAATGATTTGTAGATTTTACCAATAAATCCATTATAACATCATTCCACACTTAAGAAAAAATGTCAAAAGGTGACGAGTTCAAATCTACAAATAACTTGATTCTCATTTGTGAATTATCAAATAAGAAGCCATCTGTACTCACAGTCTCGATATTCCATTCATTTTCATTAGTATCCTCATTATCACTTCGTTCGACTGCGTCTGCGTTTGCACGAATATTATCGTCAGCATCTGATTCGGGACTCACTTCTGCAGAAACATGATCTTCTTCATTAAGAGTTTTTTGAACCTGAAAATTCTAAAATAACAACAAAAATAAAAAAAAAACTTGAATTTACCTCTGACTCTATGCTACTGTTATCAGAATCAACATCGTCATTTTCAGGATGATATGAGTTTGATTGCCCATAAGCTATATCACTATCAATATATTCATCGCTGGCTACTTCCTCATAAAGTTTCAAAAGACGGTTTTCTTCTTTTGGATTCATTGCTTGTTTCAAAAATAAACACCCTGTATATGTTTTATTCTTTTACATACAAAAATAACTAAATAAAAACATACCCCACTGAATATTATTTAAAATAACAATTTCTACAATGTCTGAGTTAACAATAACAATGCATGTGGTATTCCGGTACAACTGCCTTGCCCTCCATACACCTACGTCTTCTAATTGGTGGTAGGTATCTAAACTGTAGGCAACCAACATTGCACACACGTTTCCTGGTACACCAACATGTATTTTTAATGGTATAATAGTATAAAATGTGCCAGCCTCAACCGGTCTATCCTACAAAGCGAGTTATAATTGGACGGCTGTAGCAGGTGCGTCACATATACATGACGGCTGTAGCAGGTGTGTCCGTCAATGTGTTAAGTAGGAAACTAGCCTCAGCCTTCTATGCTCACTAGGCATGTTTTTCGATGTTCAAAAAGCCTTTGACCAAGTTTGGCATGTAGGACTTGTCAAGAAACTGCTGAACATCGGCCTGCCACTCTCATTTATCAGACTTATCCATTCATATGTCTCTGATCGCCTAATTACGATAAAGGAGCTGGGTCATTTCTCCGATTCCTTTACTCCTACAGCGGGAGTACCTCAAGGCTCTGTATTGGCTCCCATTTTATACATCAACTACAACAGTGACTTCCCTAATCCTCGTTATTACAACACAACCACTTTGCTTTACGCAGATGATACAACAGCGCGAGACGTTGATACGGTGCTTGGATTTGCTCAAAATCACCTTGACCTTGTCGATAGATAGTTCAGGAGATGGCGAGTAACACCCAACCCTAACAAAACTCAAACGAACCTATTTCGACATCCAAAGCAAAGCCAGTTTATGACATACATTATTTCCGCAAGACACAATCTAAGGCTTCGGGGTGACCGACTTCAGCTCCGTGACCAGATCGAATACCTCGGTGTAATGTTTATTCCAACGGTTAACTGGATGGCCGATCTGGACAGAGCCTGTAGTAAGGCCAGAAGTAGATACGGACTACTCAATTCTCTTTATTGTAGATTCGGAATAACACACTCACGCACACTCATACACACATACAAATCATTCATTAGGTCATCGAGTATAGATCTAACATCTATATTGCGAAGCGCGACCATAACACTCGTAGACTACTTGCTTTGGAAAGAAATATTCTGCGTAGAGTAATGCAGACCTGCAGGAGCTGGGTCATTTCTCCGATTCCTTTACTCCTACAGCGGGAGTACCTCAAGGCTCTGTATTGGCTCCCATTTTATACATCAACTACAACAGTGACTTCCCTAATCCTCGTTATTACAACACAACCACTTTGCTTTACGCAGATGATACAACAGCGCGAGACGTTGATACGGTGCTTGGATTTGCTCAAAATCACCTTGACCTTGTCGATAGATAGTTCAGGAGATGGCGAGTAACACCCAACCCTAACAAAACTCAAACGAACCTATTTCGACATCCAAAGCAAAGCCAGTTTATGACATACATTATTTCCGCAAGACACAATCTAAGGCTTCGGGGTGACCGACTTCAGCTCCGTGACCAGATCGAATACCTCGGTGTAATGTTTATTCCAACGGTTAACTGGATGGCCGATCTGGACAGAGCCTGTAGTAAGGCCAGAAGTAGATACGGACTACTCAATTCTCTTTATTGTAGATTCGGAATAACACACTCACGCACACTCATACACACATACAAATCATTCATTAGGTCATCGAGTATAGATCTAACATCTATATTGCGAAGCGCGACCATAACACTCGTAGACTACTTGCTTTGGAAAGAAATATTCTGCGTAGAGTAAACAGAAAGCGTTGCGATTATCCTTCTGCACTCATTCATTTACTGTCGAATGTCCAGCCCATTAATGAGAGACTCCTCTCTCTGGGCAGGAGTTACACAAATCCCATCCGGGGCCAAAACCTCAGAACCCAACGCATCCTTAAAACTGCCTGCTCATCCCTCGACAATGTATTCAGAAGACATCCTAAATCCAAACTCCCTTTCTTCCTACTATTTTACTGGACCTTTCCAGCAATGAACTTGCTGATGAATACATTGACAGCCTGGAGGCAACTCCACCCATATACCGCCGCCGTTTCCGTTTCCCGTTCCCATTGCACATGATATCTGTCTATTGTAGAGGTTACAGCCACAGCTGCCCTCTCGCGTCGCGTTCACATAAGTTACCTAAATTCAATAACATGCAATATTATTCAATATATTTACTAATTACAGATATTTTTAGATCAATAACTTTCTGAAAAGAATCGTTTTACACACAACTTTCTCCCATGATTGTCCAGGAGCAGCACCGACGACAACCACAATAAAAAGAGAAACAGCCAACACACCAAACAAAACAAACAAACCACGTCCTGAAGAGGCAGAAGGCCTATAACAGGACAACAAATACAAATCCAAGAAAATAAACCAAGAGAAAGAAGACAAACGACAATGAGTATATGCAATCAGATCTGTTTCGAAGGAAATCAATTTAGCATCCTTCAAAATAACATATTTTTCTTTGTTCGAGTCTCATCTTCTTACAAATTACAAAAAAGATCAATATGGTATCTTGTTGACTTTAGTAGAATAACACCTTGCAGCAGCTACTACAAGAATTTTGCAATGGATTGTATATTATTTATGGAATTATCTTTCATTTGGTGATATTGACAATTTATGTAATTTTAGTAAATTTTAATTGTTATTATTTTTTTTTACTTTTTGTATGCTTTGTCAATAAAATTGGACAATTTTCAGTGACAATAAAGCATATTTTTCTACTCTACTACTCTACTCAAGAGCTTTTAATAACAGCATAATTCATAAACTGCAAGTTACTCAAATAACTGTGGAACGTAGAATGCTCAATCTTAAGTTCAGAGATTGCATACCTAATGAGGAAATAAGAAGGAAATCAATGGGCTAATGATTTGCTACATTCTAATAGAACTGGACAAGTCACATAAAAAGAACGGTCGACAACCAATAGACGAAGCGAATTATCGAATAGCAACCAAGAGAACATAAGAAAAGAGAACATAGCTAATGATGATATACAAATAGATAAAAGTAGTTTGTCTATGCTTCAAGATTAGCGGTATATAAAGTCAAACATCTAAAAATCTTTATCATGGTCACAAAAAGAACGTAGGAAGAAAAGCATACATTGTTTACAGTCTATACGTTTTTTACGAACCTGCTCCTATAATAATGAAGTCGTACTCAGAGTTCACAGAGGACTGAATATATCCTGCGTTGCTAGAAACTACAGCTGCTAAAATAACACTCACGAATAATATAGGCTTTGTCATTTTGGTACAATACGCATCTAATGTGATAGGTTCTTGAGGTATGTTACCAAACACTTTATTCTATAGCAACGTTTTTAAGTTGTTATTCAATAAATTAAAATTTAAAATAAGTACTAGATAACATTGGGTCGTGATAATAATTTTTTGTAAATATTTAAACACGTTTTTTTTTAATATTTCCTTTAGCAGAATAATTAATAAGTGGTACTTATAGCTTTGAATATTTATATTTTAATTCCGACTTTTTTGCTTGTGTTTTGTATGTACATTTGGGAATGTGTAGAAGTCTGCATGTATCAAATTATTCCTTCCTGATTTAAATGATGAGTATTTTTTTTTTCAATTATTTATCTTATATTATTTTATTTTATTAAAAATGAGTCATACAGTTAACATCAGAGTAAAGCTGGTGAATGGAATCTTAATATTATCTTAATATTAAAACACACATACATATTTCTATTATACTTTATTCTATCTACTTGCCATAAATGAATATCTATTGATTAAGTCCTCTGTACAACTTAAATAATTGTTTGTTTGTTTTGTGATATAGGTACATATTTGCTTATATACACCATATATTCCTTAGTTTTTTGAATTCCTGAAGATGCTGTAAAAGTTTGTTATCAACGAAGCTGGCAGCCTATCCTTTTTTATCAATTTTAATAAAAACTTGTAAGGGATTGTAAGTAGAAGACTTATTTCCCTAACATTTTTCTTCTTCATTTATGTAAGCAACAGTGGCGGCTCGTGACATCTGCTATAGGGTGTGCTGCATGAACCACGGTCAATATAAAATAATAGAAATAGAATAACATACGAAAACAAAAACAATAAAATTAGCTTTAATACTAATTAATAGTAACTAATAACGACATGCTATAAAAATCTGATTAACTTACATTTATTGCATTTTTCTAAATTGGAAATTAATACGCCGGTCCTTTTTTGTCGCAAACTTTTCGATTACTTTATCGTTAAAGTTCGGTATTGAAGCGATGAACTTTTTTTCTATCGAGAGTGTGGAAAGGGCTGTTAATCTGTCTTCGCACATTGAATTTCTTAAAATGTTTTGATCCGTTTTAAAGTTGAAAAACTACGTTCAGCTTCTGCTGTGGTCATTGGCGTAGTCACCAGAATTTGTATCAACTTTTTGGTTTCTGTTAATGTGTCCTCTAAATTATTAGAAATTATAAATTTTAGTAAAGGCACTGCACCTTTTAATGTTCTACACTCGATATTGGAACACAAAACTGACAGTTCTGTTCGCAAACGGTTTTTATCAAAGAAGTTATAAGCTGTACAAGTTAAATCCAATTCATTTTCAGGAAACTTATTATTATATTTTTCGAAATGTTCTGAAGATAAAAGTGTTGCGGCAACTAGATGATTTGTATATGCAAACCGTTCTTTTGCATTGTTTATAATAACATCACAAACTTCTAGACAGGCAATACGGTGATCCTGTTGGCTGTTATTTGGGCGTTTCCTTTTTTGGACACTAGGCGCCGCATTTAAATTTGAAGCTTGATGTATGATAGGGTCTATTTTATTTCGGACATTGTTAATACTTTGCTCAAAAACATGTATAGCTTTCTGTGCTTCGGTTGGGTCCATGTTCTTTTTTTGAAGATTATTGTACAAAACGTCAACAT